TAAATTTTAGGACAAACATAAAATCATAACAGAAGCCTACAGGAAAAAAAGCAAGTGCATATCACTTAGGAATAACAGCCTCAGAAAAAACTGAAATAAAAGCTCAAAGGCTGTTGGCATTTATTTTCCCTTCACTCCCTTAAAATTTTGGAGACTTTGCATTCTATTTCCAAAAAATGTGGTTAGTATTTTAACATTTCTACCAATTATGCTGAGCAATCTAATTTAACCTCCATTTAAGAGAAAGGTTTCTTGGTCTTTTTGCAAGTTTATTACTATACAACATGAAAAACAAATGTTATGGGTGATCCTTGATTGGATCCTAGATTGGAAAAAACCCAAAAAACAAAACACCTTTGACAGGCATTATTAAGACAATGGAGAAAGTTTCAATATAGGCAATACATTAGAAAATTTTATTATATCAACATTAAATTTCTTTGGTGTGATATGGTATGATGGTTATATAGGAGAATGTCCTTGTTCTTAGAAAACACATGGTAAACTATTTAGAGGGAAAGTGTCATGATGTCTACAATATATTTTCAAATGGTTCAGCATTAAAAAAAGGCACATGGAGATAGGTAGGTAGATAGATAGATGATAGATAGATATATGGATAGATAGATAGATAGATAGATAGATAGATAGATAGATAGATAGATAGATAGATAATAGAGCAAGCCAATGTGGCAAAGTGTTGATAATTGGTATATTTAAGCAAGGCTGTTCCTAACCCTGGGTCAAAAGTACAAATGGAGACTCATATACTATGCCTAAATACTTAAAGTTATAAAGCAAACTCATAAAATAATACCTTCTCTCCTTTATTTTGACGAATACATCTTCATAATGATCTGGAAACCAAATTTAAATTTAGAATTCACAAACTCCTGCAAGTTTTATGTTAGAACATAGTAATTCAAGGAAAGCCAGCCCTGGTCTCCTGGCCTGCAGCCAGTTCCATTTCTCTCCCCATCCCTAAGTCCATCCGTATCATAAGGGGCTCTATGCACATTTGTGTGGACCTCAGTTCATGCATTCAAGCACCATCTGTGGGGTAGCAGAATATGAAACCCCAAAACATGCCCCTTCGGCATAAGGATTATTTTGAGCTGAAGGCAGCTGAGAAGAAGCAGATATAAAAAAGTTCCGTGCCCTCCCTCTATTTGCCAATCACCAGAGATAACTTTAGATCCTATTAGCCTGGATATGGCACTGGAAGAATCTATATAACATACTTTACTATCCAGCTTTTGTCTACCATTAGTTTCCTATATATCTGCCTCCCTATTATTTGCTGCCCCAGAGACTCAAAGTCTTTTTCCTTTGTCTTGTCACTTCTATAAAAATTTATTGTTCCTTTGCTAAGACACTATGTAAACTCAGGGTCTAAATAAACCTTTGAGTTACTCATTTTTCCCTGGGTATATGAGGTGTACATGTTAATAAACTTCTATTTGTTTTTCTCTTATTAATCTGTCTTTGGTTATAGGGAATCCAGCCAAGAACTTAAAAGGGTAGAGGGAAATTACTTTTCCTCCTCTACACATCCAGGTCAGCTCAACCATATCATCCATAACCACTCCCACAAATGGCTGTTTCTTGGCCACCTTTGGGCCAAAGGATAATGGATGTGGTCTAACCTTAGGAAAACAGACCCCAAAAAGACTAAAGTAGCAGGGATTCCAGGGTCTAGGATACCTGCAGCATGGAATAAAAGTGAGGGGTTGTGGTGGGAGCTGAGCTCCAGATGGGCATGCCTCTTGGCTCAGAGTACTTCTCATCCCCTGGGGAGAACCAAGGCTGGAGGAGAAAAGGGCCCTCCAAAGGATGGGTAGCACTGGATCTAGGTGAAGGGATATGGATTTCCAATGAAATTATTTTTTCAATTTTTAACTTGAACATATTGGCGTATTTTTTCCCACTTTCCAAAAATGCATTGGAGATGATTTGGAAAAAAATGTTTTATATCCCGTTCTTTTCACATATCATTCTAACAACTACAGAGGGAGAAAAATTAATCTTTCCTCTACCCTAGGAGTTCTTAGCAAAGACCTCTGTAGTAAAAGAAGTTCATTAACATGTATACTTCATGTATATTTGGGAGATGCCCAGGGAAAAATGAGTAACTCAGAGGTGGCTTAGAGTTCAGGCTTAAATACCATCTTAATTGGGAAGGGAAGGGGGGTATAGGCCACTTAGAGGGGGGAAAGTGATTTTTAGGGAAGATGAATGGATTCTTGGAAAAAATAGATGGGAGACATGATAGTTTGTGATGAAGTTTGGGTGTGGTGTCAGTGATTCCTGGTTGGTAAAGCTCCCAGGGAGGGGATAACCGAGTTCCTTTTGTTGTTCTGTCTTGGGGCAGATATGAGGAGTTCAGAGAAAGCCCCTCTTTGCATTTAATATTTTTCAAATGCCTGCAACTCAAAATAATTAATATGCCAAAGCAGCATATTTTGAGGTGGCATGTCCTGAACTCCTACACTCATATTTTGAGATGGCACATTCTGCTATTACATGATTAAAACCTCTTTGCAAACATTATTTTTAATATTCATTATACGCAATCTGTAATATTGTGATTTATGATAAAAGAAATACATATTTGGTCTTCATCCCTGTTCCTGGCACAGAGCTCCTAAAACCCCTGGAATTGCCTAGGTGTTGAAAGTGGGACAAGGTGTCTTTTGTCATGTTAATGAGGTGACTCATGGATCGCTGGGAGGGATGGGAGCTCCTTGTTGCCAGGGGAAACAACCAGGTGTCTAGAGGGCTGGAATTTTCAATCCCACCCCCTGATTTTTGAGGGGGAGAGGGGCTGGAGATTGAGTTTAATCACCAATGGCCATTGATTTAATCAACCGTGCTTCTGTAATGAAGCTTCCATAAAAAACCAAAAGGACTAGATTCAGAGAGCTTTCTGGGTGGATGAATGCAAGGAAATTTGAGGATAGTGGTATGCTCAGAGAGCGTGGAAGCTCTGAGCCCCTTCCCACATGTACTGTTTTATAACATATCCTTTTATAATAAACTGGTGAATGTTTCTCTGAGTTCTGTGAGATGTTCTAGCAAATTAATTGAATCTAAGGAGGGGTTTGTAGGAACCTCCCATCTATAGCCACCTGGTCAGAAGCACACGTAACAGACCAGCACTGACATTGACTTCTCAAGGAGGTGGAGGCGCACTGTTATACAACTCAGTCCTTAATCTGTGGGATCTAAGGCTATTTTCTAGACAAGTAGTGTCAGAATTGAGTTGAATTGTAGGCCACCTGGTCAGTGTCTAGTGGGAATTTCCCATTTACAGAACTCAGGCATGTGGCCATGTCAGACTTGTAGGAGAGCTGGAAAAGGCAGTCTGAAAGCCCAGAAGGAGAGGGAAATAATGTGACTCAATCCACCCAAACTCTTCTGTCTACTAAGAGAGTATACATCTGCAGGTTGTACAGGTCATTTACAGTTTCAGCCTGTCAGTGGATGTAAGCAAGAGGCCTCTAGGGTTTTGTTTTATTTTGTTTTGTTTTTTTCATTTCCTGGAGGAGTCCATGAACCTCTACTCTGCCAAATGTGGCCATGGATCTCGTAGGATCCCCCTTCGGTCTCCAGCCTCCATAAATACTTGAGATTGGAAACCCTCGGGAGGAATTTGTCTTGCCAACAATCCCTTTCAAATGGACTCCATGACAACAGTTCTGTTAGCCCTTGTGTTTGAGCCAGTTTGGTGGTGATATTCACTGTATTCACTCTAGTGTGTAGACTGTATTCACTCTAAATGAGGAGTCCTTGCATTTGTGGAAATTGCTTCCCAATGGTCTCTCTGCAATTTTTAAAATGATGCATTTCTTATAAAGGAGGCCCAAGTTACTTATTTTAGTTTAAACTCATAGTGTTATTTTTATAACTGGAGCACAGATTGACTGCGTGCTATTCACTAAAATTTCGAGAAAATGTCAGGCCTTAATGGATTTATATTTCAAACTTTCTGACTTTACTTTCTTTACGTTGATTTTGGGTACTGACTGAACTTATAATCAAGTTGAATGTCTGGCAGAGTGGGGGAATTCAGTTGCTGTCATGCTAAATAAAGGTTTTAATCTGGGGAAAAGGAGATTAAAAAGATCATTTTAAGTTAAAGGATGGGGGTTCATTTGAGCATCTCCAAAAGAAAGCTCCAAACTACCCAAAACTGGATGAGTCCTAAGGAAGTCTTATTGGAAATGATTTTAGCTAGTAGGCCTACCAGTCAGGCTAGTTGGCAATGTTTGCCCATGAGCAAGAAGGTTGAAAATTGACTTCAGATGGTTAGTCATCAATACACACACACAGGAATCTGCCAAAGAATCTTTGAGGAGCAGAGAGACACATGGGTGCAGATGGCCTCAACCCAAATTCTCAAAATATTAGGGGAACACAATAGGACTAGTGAGGATACTATTTGTGTTCCTTGGAGGCAACATTAACTCTGAAAAACATTTTTTTCCTGTCGCTTTAGGAAAAAGGCAAAAATAAAAGAGATGCCAGAATTATGTTGCTGTAAATAAACCACTACTATTGGCAAAACAATTAATCATTTACTCAACAAGCGTTTATTAAGCACTGGCACTAAGTACTGGAGATAGGAAGATGAATGAAAGTTTCTGCCCTCAAACAGCACATAGCCTAGGGCAGAAGAAAATAATTGCAAAACCGTGTCATAAGGGCTGTAAGGAAGGCATGCATAAGTCGTGGGGGGCCACAGAGAAGGAAGCAAGTTTGGAGAGGATGGTTAGGGAAAGACTCACTGAAAACACCCTTGGGATGCATCTCAAAGGATGAACAGGAGTTTGCCAATATAAGCAGCACTTTCCTAAGAGAGGAAAAGCATAGCAAAGCTTGTCAGAGCAGAAAGGCACACTCCAACTTTCACATCATTTTGGTTACTAAAGCTGTTTTCATGGTAGAACTGTTTTTATTTCAAGGTTTTCTCTTTTGATTTGCTTTTCTTTACATTTTAGAGAAAGTGTATCTGTGGAAATATGTAATGGAGCGCCCAAGCAATCTCACCATTGTGGAGTCGAAAGCACCCAGGATGACATCTGAATCTCTGCTGCTGACCTTGTTTCCCTAAGGTTCCCTGGCAAAACCATGTGGATGAGAGCATGACCATTAGAAAAAGGGCATTTTAAACCTCTGGGTTTTTTTCAAGTTAAAAACATACAAACCACTTTTCTATAGTCATATAGTTAACTTTTGATTATTCAGGGACACGGGGATAAAAGTTAGGATGACCAAACCAGGAAAAACAGGGGAAAGAAAAAAGGAAACAACTGTAAAGTTCATTTTTAAAAATCAGAGTAAAATGAAAGAATTAAAATCAAGTATATCTGTTCTTACACTATGAATGGACTGAACTTGTCCATTAAAGTCAGAAACTGAGTGAGCTTAAAAAGAATAAACCGCCCTAAATGCTGTTTCCAACGAACACCTGACACACAATGACAAAAAGGAAATGGGATAGTAAGTTACCTCAAAATCCATACTTGTTCATGATTTTAACTGCTTTCCTCCATCCGACTTCTTGCCTCAAGCAAGGTTTTTAGAAAAGTCAAATTGGCAATCTTAAGGACCCCTAATATTTACAAACAACATAATTCTCCAGTGCAAATATAAGTAAAGAATTTATGTTAAAGCAAGTTGTATCTGTCAGGGTCCAGTCAGGAAGACAGAAATTGCAACAACAGACAAATTCATATGAGGAACTGGTTACACAAGTTGTTGGAGGGACCAAAGGGCAAAAGGAGACACAGCAAGGTGACACAGACAGCGAGTGCAGGAAACAGCCATCATCCTATGGCTGGGGGAAGCAAAAGGGAAGTTGGGGCTGTCAGAATCTAGAAGTCAAACCCAATTTGTAATACCTGAAACCTAGAGCCCGTTGGAGGATTTTCTCCCAACACTGCTCATGTCATGTTATGTTAGGAAAGAGATAGATAGTAGGCATGACCCAGGAAAATTCTCTCTGTTCTGATGTAGGAAAGACGTTATTAGGGTTCGAAGCCGACCACCAAGAAAGAAGTCTTGAGACGTCTTTGGTGCAAAAAGGTGATTTTATTAAAGCATGGGGACAGGACCCATGGGCAGAAAGAGCTGCAATGGGGTCATGAGGAGTGGCCCATTATAGACTTTCAAGTTGGGAGGGGGTTAGGGATAGCGTAAGTCTCTAAGGAATTTTGGAAGCAAGGTTTCCAGGACCTTGAGGGGGCTAGTTATTGTCGGGAAAAGGTCATTTATTACCGTCTAATAAAACCTTAGTCATGAGACCCTTCAGATGTACATAGGTGGGCCATATGCTTGGGGGATGATTACCAACATGTATCTTGGAGGGGGGGAGCATTTAGAGATAAAGGAAGTTTCCAAAAGAATATGTTAAAGTAGACTTACAGGATCTTGGGGGGGGGGTTTGTGGCAGTCAGGCTAGGATTGCCTTTTGCCCTTAGCAAAGTATTAACATTGAGGCAGTTGAGTCCCTAGAGGAATGTCACTCTGCCTGTTTCAAGGACTTGTCAATGGGCTGTAGGTAGTAAGGAAACTCAATAATTTTTCTTCTGCCTTTGTTTCCCACATCATGTTCCTTACCACAGGCTTATCCTTAATCCTGTTTCCTGGTGAAGAGGATACACCACATGGGACTCCAGGGTCTCCTTTTTCTAAAGAAAGTAACTCTAAGTCTTGCAACCCTACAAGTTGGCCAAATAGCCTCCTAGGCACCATTACTTTAGGATCGTTCCAGTGGCAAAACAAATAAACAAGCAAGAAGGCTAACTCAAGAAAGAAAAGAAAGGAAAGGGCTGCACTTGGGCTTCTCCTATAGCCTAGAGCAGAGTTGATCCTGATCATTCTAGAAATCAACAATTACAACCTTCTAGGACATTATATATCCTCTCTCAAGAAGACAGGAGTGGTTCCTGCACCATTTTTCCTGAATTCCAGATAATAGGAAACAGCTTCTATCAACCCAAATTAAGAAGGGAAGATGTCACTTTTATAGAAGGATAAAGATACAGAAGGATAAAAGTTTCTATTCGAAGTCCTTTTTGACCTTCTGGTCAAAAGAGCTTCACTAGAAATGGGGTTTTTCTAATTGCTAAGAGAACACTGGAAAGATCACTCAAAACTGGAACCGTCAAAATAGGACTACTGATGTGTGCATCACCTTGGATAAAGTTTTAATTCATCGTAGTCAGTCCTTGCCCCCTGAGAGCTGAGCCCTGTGCTAGGAAGTCATAATAAGATTACCTGGCTTTCTCTGTCCCTGTGCTATCAATCAACACTGTGGTTGATGAAGTTACATAAAATAATCAGATAAGCCTCTGATGCAATGATGATAATGACAAAAAAAGCAGTGAAATAAAATAGAGCAAACACAAATCAATCCCCTTGCATAAAAGTTAAAGTTAGAAAGTTTGCAAACCTAGGACATTGTCAGTCAATGTCAGGATTTGTCATTTATAACCCACCACTGGATTAAACCATTCTATAAAGCAAATATTCCAAGAATCTCAGGTTTAAAGTTACCTTAAACATTATTAGTTGCAGAGATAACAAACTGACCATGGGCCAAATGTACATATGTGTTATGTGGCCCATAGTGGAGTTTTCTCCCCCAGTGGAATTTGATAGCACATTTAAGAATTAGAAGCTTTTCTATAAAAAGTAGAATTCCTGGCTTCTCTTTAAAAATAGAAAGATTTCTTAAAACAGGACCCATGTTCCTGCATGAAAACTATCAGTACTGAATAATAATTGTGTTCTTTAGAAAGAATATACCCAGACCCCATTACTCCCTATTATATCTCCAATTTAGAGGCTGAGAGTCAGCCACTGTTTATCATGTTGCTGCAACTGTTTTACATGGAGTTAAGGGAGAAGTGAAGTACTTCTTACACTTGTCCTCTTCTCTCATTTATGCTCCTTGCCTGGCCTCCATGGGCATCTGAGTGAGGGGCCCTGGTCTGGTTGACAGCCCCCACCTCACTTGATGCTCGAGTCCCTACGTACCATCTTCAGTCTATGTGGAGTCACAGGGAAGTCACCCTCCCCGAGACAGCCAGCTCCATAGTTAGTCATCTCTGAACATTACAAGCTTCTTAATAATGAACAGAAATGTATCTTCCTATTATCTCCACTAGTCCTAGTGCGATTCCTGGAGCTATCCAGCATGCAGAACACTAACAAAAACCAAATAATGCAAGAACTTTTGTAAAGCATTTAGTCCGGAGCCTGGTATGTGGCAGGAGCTCAGTATATGTTGGTTTCTTTCCTTGCTCCATTTCTTTCATTTAACAAGTATTTGACAAACATTTGTTGAGTGTCTAGTATGTGCAAGGCACTGTACTGGGAGCTAAAAATAAAAAGATGAATCTAAATAAAAATAAGTCTCTGAATTCTAGAAGGTAATAATCTAGTAGCTGAGGCTGATCTGTGTGTGTTCTGTCACAATGCTGGGTTAAGAATACGTACAGGACTCCCAAACTAGACCGAGACACTCTACTGACTTTTGTGGGCAAGTAGGGTCATCCAGGTGTGTCATTTGACCATTATTTGTCTTGTACCTAAAGGCTGGCATGTACTTTGGGAGCAGAAATTCCATACTGCTCATATCTCCAATAAATAATAAATTTGGCTTTGTATTAGGGAATTAAAGACCTAAAGAGACTTAGTATCAGTTGGAACATGCCTTCACGAATACTTTCATTTTACAATCTTAGAATTGTTACAAATTCAGAGATAGTAGTAAGTATAGTGAGCTATAGGAACAAAGAGAAAGATCACCTGACACATTTTGGTTATTTACAAATAATATGAAAGACAGTTTCAAGGGTGGACAGGAAATAGGTCAGGGAGACATAAAGATTCCCTCTCCAGAACTTGGGGTATATAATGAATACTCGGCTTAGTGGTTTCCTCCTTGTTCCCTTGGGTACCGGACCCTGTTTCCTCTCAGCAAGAGACTTCAGTTTGTGACATTTGCAACTAGGTAGTGTTTAAGGTAAGATAACTTACCTTAAGGATGGAACTCTGACAAGTGGATGAGATGAGAGGTTTTAAAAATATATATTTAGGAACCTCTCTGACACTAAATGCACAGGCAACAAAAGTAAAAATCAGCAGGTGCAACTACATTAAACTAAAAAACCCTGCACAGCAAAAGAAAAAGCTATACAATGAAAAGGCAACCTAAGTAATAAGGGAAAATATTTGCAAACCATTTTTCTGACAAGAGGTTAATTTCCAAAATACATAATGAAGAACTCATACAACTCAATAACAAACAATCCAGTTTAAAAATGAGTGGAGGGACTGAATGGGCATTTTTTCCAAAGAAGATATCCAATTGGCCAACAGGTAATGAAAAGGTGCTCAGCATCACTATTCATCAAGGAAATGCAAATCAAAACCACAATGAGATCTCACCTCACATCTGTTACAATGTTATTATCAAGAAGACAAGAAGTAGGGACGCCTGGGTGGCTCAGTTGGTTAAGTGTCTGCCTTCGGCTCAGGTCATGATCCCAGGGTCCTGGGATCGAGGCTTGCATTGGTCTCCTTGCTTAGTGGGGAGCCTGCTTCTCCCTCTGCCTGCCGCTCCCCCTGCTTGTGCTCTCTTTCTCTCTCTTTCTCTGACAAATAAACAAATAAAATCTTAAAAAGAAAGAAGACAAGAAATAACAAAGATATGAAGAAAAGGGAACTCTTAAGCACTGTTGGTGTGAATATAAATTCGTTCAGCCACTATGGAAAACAATACGGAGGTCCCTCAAAAAATTAAAGATAGGACTACCATATGATCCAGCAATCCCATTTCTAAGTATATATCCAAAGGAAATGAAAAGAGGATATCACACTCCCATGTTTATTGCAGCATTATTCACAATAGCCAAGATATGGAAACAACCTAAGAGTCTGTGAATGTATGAATGGATAAAGAAGATGTGGTATATATACATACAATGAAATATTATTGGACTATGAGAAAGAAGGAAATCCTGCCATTTTCAACAACATGGATGAAACTTGAGGGCATTATGCTAAGTGAGATAAGTCAGAGAAAGAAAGACAAATACTGTATGATACCACTTATATGTGGAACCTAAAAAAAGCAAGACTCATAGAAACAGAGTAGAATGGTGGCTATCAGAAGCTGGAGTAAATGGGGAGATGTTGTTTAAGGGTATACAAACTGGCACCTGGAAGATTAATAAGTTCTGGAGATCTAAGGCACAGCATTGAGATTATTGTCAACAATACTATATTATGTACTTCAAAGTTGCTAAGAAACTAGATCTTAAATATCTTGATCATAACACACTATGTTAATTATGTGACCATGGAGGTGTTAGCTAAGCTATAGTGGTAATCATATTACAATATATAAATATAGCAAATCAATGGGTTGTACACCTTAAACTTATGCAACATTATATGTCAACTCTATCTCAGTAGGAAGAAGAAAGGAAAGGAAAGGCAAGGAAAGGAAAGGAAAGGAGAGAAAGAAAGAGAGAGAGAAGGAGAGAAAGAAAGAAAGAAAGAAAGAAAGAAAGAAAGAAAGAAAGAAAGAAAGAAAGAAAGAAAGAGAGAAGGAGAAAAAGAGAGAAAGCAAGCAGGTTCCTCTGCTCTACTTTGATGAAGGACAGGAGGGCGCCTGTTTTACTTTCCCTTGGTTGCCCTTGCCAAATTGCCTGGCAAAGGATGCGGGAGAGCAGAAGAGCACCGCCACTCAAGAGCACCAGGAGACAGGCTTCCTGCAGTTGCAGGTGGATGGAGAGCCTAAATCAGGGCAGGTGCCAGAGCTGCAAACTGCACCCGAGGCTCTTTCCCAGAGTGACCACATGCCAGGCCACCAGCCCTGGACCTGCTGGGCTGCTGAAGCACATCGACGCACAGATAGAACGACACCTCCAAAGGAACAGTGTTGGACATGGAGGCAGGGCTGGATCATGTGTCTGCATACTCACTCACTGTCTCCTGCATCCCACATTTCATCCTTGATATCTATACCATATAAAAATTGAATAAGCCCTTGAACCTAAAATTCAA